CCCCAAAACCCCAAAACCCCAAAACCCCATGATTAAGTTTTAATTTAAAATTATTTTCTAAGGACTAACACATAATGTCAAAGGATTCGTATATGGGAGATATAAAATATGCATTGGACTCTCTACTCTCGTCGCCAATAGCTCAAGGTTCGCCAGGTGGACATGGAGTAACACAGAAAACATTGGTTAGAATGAATAGTACTTGGCTGATAGCAATAGTTCTAGTTTTAGTACTTTGATTTTCAAGAGCAGAGTAAGTAATCTCCAGGTTTTTATCTAATTCAAGTTCAGAATAATTTTTAATATAGACAGGATTGTAATACATCCAAGGATGGCTTTGGCTATGATGACTGAATCAAAGATAGATACACCTTGGAGTTAGGGGCCTCAACTTTACAAATTAGTGATGCTTATCAAGTTAATTTTAACCTCTACTTGATATCCACAGATGAGGCCAAAGCAACAACACTTTTTACAAGATATGAAGGCAATACCTTCTCTTTAGATTGGGCATTTAAAGAGACTAAATACTTTGAGACTCTTGCTGTAACACCTGATGAACAAATCTTAATTGTAGCAGTTGATGGTGAAGGAGCTAATCAGAATTTATTGATTCATACTTACCAGCCTACCTCAACTGAACTTAAGCCCCTCAAAATGATAAACGGGTATGGTCTTTATTAATTTCGGAGTATCCTCAGTGTATTTACTTATGCTTTGTTCTGAATCTTTTATAGATACAACAGTGAATTTCCAATGAGTAGACCTCACATGGAGGTTTATAACAACACAGCTGTTTGTAAGTATAATAAATCATCCCCTTCCTGGTTCTTGCTCAATACTCTTACATTGCCTTTGTCCACTCAAGAGGAATACTTTTGGATATCAAGGACAAGAAAAAAATCGTTTAAAAATTCTTTAAGTTTTCGACTCTGATTGGTGATAAAACTCAGCAAATGTTATGTTAATTATTTAAGATTGCCTTTACCTGAGTTCTGTACTTTTAATGTGCTGCTTCTCAGTACGTGTTGTTTGATTTCTCATTCATGTTGTTAATCTTAACTCTGAGAATTAAACAGAAAGCGTTTTATACCTAATTTGCCATGGTTATATTAAAAATAGTACTCTTAAGACCTTCTGGGATATCTTTAGAATGACATCAATAAGTCTATTTGACAATATTCGCACTAAGACTTAGCTAAAATAAGATTAACAAATTTTCCTTAGCCATTATCTTCCTTATCTAGTCAGATCCTATCACCTCACTTTTGGCTGCGACTATTCTCTGATGCGATTATCTCTAATTTTTCATAGAGAAAATCTGCTGAATCTTGCTTTCTTACTGTTTAATATTATTTCATAACTTTCTTTGAAAAACATTCTAGGTCTGAAAATCTTTACTATCTTATAGTTAGAGCCTCTATCCTTCTCTCCTCTAGCTTAGTTTGATGATTAAGGAAGAACTTGGTAGGAAAGCTAATGGTTAAGCTCTTCAGTGTTCTTATAATCCAATGAACTTAGTCATTATTTATATGTTTAATAAAATAACCACTGTCTGTTAGATACTCTCAGAGATTTTGACACTTCTTGATAATATCTTAGAGTGATTTTGATTCCTTTCTAGATCTCTACGCAAACACTATCACTACAGGAATAGACCTGATTCGACTTGATGTTGCAACTGGAACTGCTGATAAAAGAATAAGTTTTACGAGCAATGCTTATATTTTTGGTCAAGTCATTGTTGGGTCTTCAAAGCATAATGTTCTGGTAAGGTGTAGTTTAACATCTAGATAATGTATCAAGTAATTGCCTCCAGAGATATCCGATTTGGAGGAGTTAATGTTAATGATAATACTGTGTTTCAGAATTCAGGCATAAACTGACCAACTTCTGGAGATACATCTTGAGTTCTTGATACAGCATCTTCTAAAGCAGTTAATGATGATGGAACTATTGCCTATATTGTGAGTTCATTTAAACCAACTGGAATGTTCTTTTTGTCTCTTAAGTTTGATGCACTGAATGTTATAAATGGGAATACCTTCATTACTTCAGTAGAGGTTACTTCAAATTATCATCTGACCTACAATGGAGGATTTGTGTACTTAATTTTTGAAACACAAGTTGGAAAATCTGTGTTTACAAAGTACAATCCTTCATCAGATTCTTTTACTGATGAAATATATGAGTCAGATATCAAGTATCGGCTCTCCTTTGCTGCAAACTCAAGGTAAGACTATATTTATAATTTTAGGATCGGTCATGCCGGAGTCTCAGAACAAAATTTGATGTTTAGATCATGTTTTAATGGCAAGCCTTCCTTTTCCAACCATTACTAATTTTCTCTTAGATTTTAGCAACTCATCAATTACAATGAGTATTGTTACTGATGTAAGCAAAAAAGTAGCATCCTCTGGAGATCAACTAACTGTTTCAAGCCAAGGAGCAAGAACTTTTTCAGTGGCTACTTTAAGTAATACTCTATCAACCCTGACATCAGCTAGGTCAAAAGAGGTAAATATTACTCCAGATCTTGTCTAATTTTGTTTGTAGAAGGTAAAGACATTTAGCAGTAATCCTGCTAAAATCCAGATATCTAAAGGATCTAATACCACAGTTGATTTCTGCTTAGCTCATTCTCTACTAGCTGATTCAGATTTTTCTTATTCCTTTGAACAAAGCTCTGAAGATACATCAAAGGTGTCTTATGAATTCACCAGGGATGAGGCCACTGGTAAACTTAGGATAGACAGCCAAGAGTTTTCAATAGAGACAACTACTGCTCAATTTACCATAAGTAAGTCTGTTCCATAACTGTCCTAATCCTTCAAATAGCCTTAAGCTCAAACAGTTCAGGCTCAAAGTATGTGTCTGAGGTGAGCATAGAAGAAGAAATTGATTCTGGTAAAAAGAAATCCATAAATGGAGCTCAAGACGGAATCATCGCCACCTGGATGATCATTTCTGTACTGGGAGGAATACTAGGAGGCTCTCTTATACAGATTCTATGGATAGTCTTTAACCAACAAAAGTTGCTTCTTTTCTTGATCCTTGTTGATACTTATATGGATTCTTATGTCAGGCTAGCGATAACCAGACAAAATTTTGGCCTTTTTAGCTTTGATTTCTTAGGAAGTGTAATTCCGAGTTTTGTGCAAACCCCGATTATTACAAAAAAAATGGATATGAACCAGAAGACAAGAGTTCTAAGAGAAATTGGGTTTGATCTTGAAAGCACTTTCAGGACTTATTGGTTGCCAATCTTCTTTATCCTATTGACTCTTATCACCCATATTTGTTGAAGAATACTATTCAAGAAGTTTCCGTGGATATTGACCAAATACTCAAACAAAAGAGAGAAATCTAAAGACAGACAAATCAAGCCTCTTGATGAGGAAGAAATAGTGTCAAACCAAGATGAGAATATTAACAAGAGATCCTCCACCGAAGAAGAGAAGGATGAAGAAGAGTCTGACCATGAAACACAAAAAGAAGGTGGAGGAGGAGAAGATGACAAAGAGTCTCCAAATAAGTCCTTCAATGAATCGAGGATGAACAATACAGAGAGTAGAATTGCTGTTGGTCAGTCAGGAAATATAACTAATACCATCAAGGCTGATCTCGAAGACCCTATTTATGACGATCAGGAAGATGAGAAGAGGGATTCTGAGAATCACAATAAGAAAAGAACCTTAAAAGAAGGAACAAAAGCTCTTATCAAAAGCATACTTCCATGGATTCTCAGAGCTCTCTCGTCTGGTGGTTACTGGAATATTTACTTCAGGTTTATGATAGAGTCCTTTATGGGTGTTTTGGTCATGTCAGTTAGTGAGATCAAAACTAGTGGAGCAGCAACTTCGTGGCAAAGATTCTCACTCTCTCTAGCTTACATATTACTGATAATCTTTCTTGCTTTCTATGCCTTCGTCTGATTCTTGGGATTCAGAGAGTACAAAAGGAGAAATGGGTATGTTAGAGTACCTGAAGATGATGGAGATGAACAGAAGAAACCTAAAGGTAATTTTGTAATATTACTATTTTTTAGAAGTCGAAGATGAAATTTATGGAGAAATATTTGCTGATCTCAATAAATCTGCCTTTGCCTCCCTTCACCAGCCTTTAAATCTGACGAGGATTTTATTGTGCATATTATTGATTCTTGTGGTTAATGTGTATGATCAATCGACTGTTTGGATAATATTTGCATTATTCTTCATATTCCAGATGCTTTTCCTCTATCAAGCAGTAAAATATCCAAAATTTGAATGGTGGCTTCTAAAAGTTATCTACTTGATCAACGAGGTTTTCCTTGTTGTTTTTATAATAGTATTTGCCCTCCTAAAGTCAAAACAGGATTGGAAAAATTGTAAATTTAGCTCTAACCTATAGCTTCGTGAAGAACGATAGTATTAACAATGATCTTCGCAAATACAGGAATTGTGATATTATTCCAGTTGGTAAGTTTGTTCCATGACTTCTAGTTTGGGAGTTATCTCCGCTCAGTAACTTTGTACAAAGGTAAGAGTATTGCGTAACCTTCAGAGACAAAGAGTTATCTTCTCAATATACCAACTTCTCCAGGATCATCAGATGATAAAGCTCATAAGTTCAAGAATCAGGGTAAATAATTATTGAAATCTTTTAGGAATCCAAACAGACCCTGTAATTCAAGAGGTCTTACCTGGAAGAATTGCTAATGAGAGTCCACAAACGTAAGAAAATTCGATAAATTATGCTGTCCTTGAATCTTATGAGAAAATACAGCCTATTTTACATAAAAATATTTTTGATTAAATCCATAATGTATAGAGAGGAAAATTTAGAAACAGAGAAAAGTAAATTACTAAAAGTCATGTGTAATAGGAAAATAAGAAGAAGAACAAAAGGAAGTCCAAAAGACAGAAAAAGGATAAAACTCAATTAGAGAGAAGTAAGCATTGCAAAGGAAACTGCTAATTTTGTATAGTATATAATAATACAATGGCTCCAAAGCCGAAGAGGAATAGCAAAGGTAAGTGAATAAACTTATCAAAGTTAAATTACCCACTTAACTCACCAAAACTAGAAGAAAAGAAGAATAAATCAAGCTCTAAAAATGGCCCTAAAAAGGTCCCATTACTACAAGTCCAGAGTGAGAACCCAAAAGGCAACATTCTCGACCTCAGAGCCACCCAAGATACTATAGCCCTCAAAAAGAAAGACCCAGTCAGCCCCTCTCCCAGACCCCTCAGATCCTCTCTCCTCGCTCCCTCTAACCCCACTTCCATCCTCAACCAGCCTTTGCCCTCTCTACCTCCCTCCATTAGGCTTCCTCAGAGTCCTTCTTCACGGTCAAAATCCAAAAATCCCCACTCACAAACACCTGGCTCCAAAAGTGCCAAAAGCACTAAAAGTGCCAAGAGTACCAAAACTGCCAAAAGTACCAAAGCCACCAAAAAATCAAAAAATAAGAAAAAGCCCAAGAAATAACAATCATTCTCAATTTCAGTCAAATCTCACTCCTCCGGGGTTTTGGGGTTTTGGGGTTTTGGGGTTTTGGGG